CCCTCCCAGCCAGGAATTCCTTCCCAATATCCCACTAAACCTCCTCCTCTCTCTCTCGGAAGCCGTTCCCTCTCTGTTCTGTAGCTCCAGCCCTCGGAAATCGTCTCCAGCTTTTCCATTTCCATTCTTTATCCTTTATCCCAAGGGAAAAGCGACAGGACAAGAGGAAACAGCCTCGGGTTCCACCTGAGGAGATCCGTGTTGGATTTTACGGAAATTCCTTCATGGAAAGGGTTGGAAGGAGCTGCCCTCCCCATCTAAAGCCCTGTGGAGGTGGCACTTGGGGACAGGGGTGGCCTTGGCAGAGCTGGGGAATGGCTCCACTCAAAGAACTTGGGGATATTTTCCATCCTAAACCATTCCACGATTCTCTGGTTCCGTGATGACAAAACCTCACTGATGGAAACCTGCCCGAATGTTTGATTTTGCTGAAATATTTAGAATAATGGACAAATATTTCAATATCAGCTCCTGTTTTCTCGTGGCCATTCTCAGCTGCACCAAGAAACTTTTCTGTGCATTGGGACTGCCGTGAAGTCACCGGGATTTTTGCTGTCAAACTGGGAGGGAGCAGGATGAATCAAGAGTTTTATATTGCATTTTCAGATTCTTTTTATTTTCACTGTTTCCTATAAGAAGCCTGTGACGGGTCCTGAGACTTCTTTCAGCTCCAACAGCAGCAGTGCCTCATTTTCCAATTTCTCTCTGTGTTTCCCACCTCTGCCCCGTCATTTCACGCAGGCTGTGGTTTCCAGCTCGTGGAGGAGCCGCTTCTTCCGAGAGCCAAAAGTGAAAGAGAATTTTGGGATGTGCTGCAGGGCTGTTCCTCAAAGGCACCACTTCGGCTTCCCAGGGTTCTGCTCCCAGCAGGACACGAGGTTTCCCCACAGGGTCAGCGCTGGGGTGGGATTTGGGATTAATTTGTTGTTAAATTGGAATATTTCCTAATTACATCCTCTAGATCTCTCCTGGAATCCCTGCTGGGGCTGCCCCTGGATCCCTGGCAGTGTCCCAGGCCAGGTTTGGAGCAGCCTGGGACAGCAGGAAGTGTCACTGCCATGGCAGGGCTGGGATGGGATTCAATCCCTCCCAACCCAAACCATTCCAGGATTCTGGGATTTGAATTCTGGTGAGTGAAATTGGTTTTTTTAACAATGGAAGAAGAAATCCATCTCCTCCTCCTTCATCTCAAAGCTCCTCTGCTTGAGCAGGCTTCACCTGAATGAAGAATCTTGATAATTAATATTTCCATGAATCATATTAGAGCAAAAGAATGTGTTTTATACATTAGAATATATTTAAATGAGATTATTAATTACTCCTTGAGCAGCCTGGGACAAACACCAAAAATCCAGTTCCACCTCCCACTGTCCCAGGCTGCTCCAAGCCCTGTCCAGCCTGGATTTGGGCACTGCCAGGGATCCAGGGGCAGCCCCAGCTTCCCCCTGGGCCAGGGCCTGCCCAACAGAATAAATAGAATAAATCGAATTTGTAGAAGAAATAGAATTTTTATAATAAATAGAATTTGTATAATAAGTATAATTTCTATAATAAGTATACATTAAATATTATATATTATTTATATGTATATTATATATTATATATTATATATTACATATTATATATTATATATTACATATTATATATTATATTATATTATATATTATATATTATATATTATATATTATATATTATATATTATATATTAGTGCTTTATCACTAAAACAGTGCTAAGTTTGCCCACCATTCTGAAAAATAGAGCTTCAGTTATAGCCAAAGGGACAGAATGCAAGCACACTGTAAATATAAAGTAAAAATAAAGATA